AAGGAATAACAAGAAAAAAAGGTTTCTAATTTGTCGTTCCTTTCTTTTTCAGCCTTTTCTCTCTCTTTTGTTTGGAGGCTGTAGCAAGGTATTTATACCTTGGATTAATTTTAAACCCTAATTACAAATATATTTTGTAATTGCAAATTAATCCAATAATTTGAATAAATAATTTAATTAAGTCCTTAAGAAGCCTAATTAACTTAATTGTTTAATTTAATCAATTAGGCCCAATAACTTAATTAAACAATTTAATCAATTAAGCCCAACAACTTGATTAAATAAATTTAATCAATTAGGCCTAATAACTTGATCAAACAAATTTAATCAATTAGGCTCAATAATTTAATTGCTTAATTTAATTAATTAGGCCCAATAACTTAATTAAACAATTTAATGAATTAGGCACAACTTAATTAAATAATTTTAATCAAGTGCTTGAAAAGCTCATAACTTTTAATTTGATTAAGTCCAACTTAATCACCTCTCCCATTTTATTTTCAACATTCATTTTAGGTGTGTGATCCATTAGACTTCTAACATGTTGGCAATGAACTCAACATATAATTCTTAAGTTAACCATAGAATTAGATAAATTTAAACTACTTTAAATTTATCATTAATCAGGTTAACTACCTAGAGTTCCTAGATCAAGATTAGGATCTAGCAATCCATCATGGCCATCTAAATGTTAGAAGAGTTAAAATGGTTTGATTCAACCTTTCAGTGATTAGCCTTTCAGTGTAATTCATTCCCTCATCTTATATCCTAGAGATAATAAGAGTATGGTGCAATGTCTACTTATATCGATCGCCATATTCGTTCTTAAAGTTTGATCATCAGCTTTATAAAGACTTATGAAACTCATTTCATAATCTTCAAGTCGCCTTGGGTAAGGATTTCAATAAGCTAATATCAACTAAAAATAGTTAGGATATGTCCCCTGCATCACTTGGGGTGATAATTCCTATCTTGACCATTCATTTGCCTTCACATGCTTCATGCTATACTCAAAAGTATCTCGTTTTGGCATCGTTGATTAGGCACCCGTAGGGATAAAATTAAAAGATAGCACTCCACACATAAGATAACTTGGTGTCTCAAGTCTAAGATGTATTTACACAACTGATACATGAGAAGTATTGCATAGACACTTGAGTGAAATACCAAATTCACTTCTCACAGTGGGTCATGTTCAAGGAACTTGCTCTCATAGGCAACCACCTATATTCTAATTCCAAGTATCTTTATACTTCAACCTATTAGATCGATTGCTTACTTCTCAAGTAAGAAATATAGAATATACCAATCTCTAGGTATCATTGATGTCCAGTCTCAATGGTACATTGACTAAGAACATTTTTGAGATCACGCTTTGATGCATAAGAATCTCATAACTACAACCCATTACAGTTTCCTTGCAAGGCATATTAATCTCATGGACTTCATCCAATTAGACCTTATAACTTGTTATAATTGATGTCTTATTGATGAAGGAAAACCTTTAATCATTCAACATGAATAATGTTGTTGCATGATTGGAATCAAGCCTTAACCAATTGCAATTGGCTGCAGGGCTCATCCCAACATAGGGGACATGGGGACCATCTAAAATGATATTCCAAACCTCAAGGTCCATAGATTGAATGAACATTTCCATCCTTTTTCTCTAATAAGGTTAGTTTGTACATAAGAACATTGGAGGTCTTTGAATTGAATGCCCCTCGCTAAGAACGATTACGGTGATATCCATCTTGGTGTGTTAAGCTTTGCATTTGGATCACTCAAGGTTGTTAGACCTACAAGGTTGAGCATTAACTCTGATACCATTTGCATAACCTCAAACGCTACCACTTCTCTTAAAACTAATTAATGATAGGAAGGCACATACTTTAGTCGTATGGTGCATTTAGCACATAAACGTCCATGGCCTTTGATTGTGATTTGATCAACACCCAAACCTCCACTACAAAACAATTATTGCCAATACCTTGACCAACAAATCAAACCACAAATTAAAGTTTAAACCAATAATAACAAAAAAAAGGGACAACAAAAGGAAAAAAATATTTGGAAAGGGTGGGTACAATAGCGAAGTTCTGCGGTGCAAATTGATCGAATCAGCAGTGAAGTTCTATCATGCAAAATGGTGGCAATGATGACAGAGTTTTACCTTGCAAATTAATGGAATATGGGGCAAGAAGGTTAGCTTAAACGACAGAAGGCTTGGGTCTACTGTTGTTCATAGTCGGGTAATGGTCAAAGGGGGATGGGCTTTGGAGGCGTGGGTTGTGAAGAGTTAAGGTTGAGGGAGACAAAGAAAGGAGAAGAAAAAATTGGAAGGAAGGCAATTAACTCGATTATATAATTAAAATTAGTAACGAAATTACCAATAAAATATTTCATCAGTAGACGTGATTAACGTTTGATTGATGTATGGCCATACTTTCCCCAACGAAAAATCTATCAGCATTTTGAAAACATTCATTGGTAACCTACTAGCATTTAGATTATCAACTACTGACCAAAATTTTATTGATAATTTCGTTTTTATGTTTCAAACCCTTAACACTTTATTTTCTAGTTATTGACGAAATTAACAACTGATTGACATTTGATTGACGTTTGAGTTTACCTTTTATGGCTGATGGAATTTCTGTAGGTATTTTGCAAATTTTGTTGCTATTTTCTAACCCCAAACACTTTATTTTCCATTTTTCAATAGAATTAGCGATGGCCATTTCAATTGGAAAAGGTGATTGACATTGGATTGATGTTTGAGTTTACCTTTCTCTATTGGCAGAAATTCTGTCTACATTTTCAAAATTTTCTTCGTATTTTTGTTGCAATTACCAATGAAAATAACGTTAGATGATTTTGTTGGCAACCATGATGGACATTTGATTGTACCTTTTTGATTGGTAGAAATTTCATCACCATTTTTGGAAATTTTGTCGATAAATTACTCAAGTTTCACAAAGTCATTTCCGACAAATATTTTGTTGGGACATTTCATCAGTAACTTTGTCAATACCTTTTATCCCTATAGATGTAGTTTGTCGGTAGTCTTTGGGCTAATTGCTTTTATTACGCTCCAAATAAACACCAATTGAATACTGTCGGAAACTATTCTGTCGGCCTTTTTTGTCAATATTTCGTTAGTGCTCTGCCAAAGAATTGCACAGATACTAGTCGTAAAAAATTCATCAACAATTAGTTGGCATTTACTGATAGAATATTACCAACGAAAACGATTCCATCAATGAAGCCCGAATTTTTTATAGTGAGAAGAAATTCAAAAATCCATTCTTGCACACCCAATCTTGTTATAGATTCAACCTTTCCTCCTTTGACTTTTAACTTTCATTGATTGATACTTTGACTGCTAAATGGCATGAATATTATTCAATACTATATTGGAATAGCCTAAATAACACTTAATAAAATCTAAATGTTATTCTAAGTGTTAGTGTTCAATCAATGTAAGAGTCAATGTCTTGCCAATTTCATTTTGTTCAATACAAATGGATATGGTGGCATAATTTCATTAACGGTCACCTCCATGGTCAAAAATCATTGGACATGGATCAATGCTCATGTGACAATTGATCTGTACAGTTACTACCCTCTTCTTTATTTTTCTTTTATATTTCATTCGTTCCCTAATATTATTTTGGCCCAGGATGGGCAGTGGTCACCCTTGGCCGACATCACACCTGGTAGGGACTAATTTAGCCTCAACTGGTCCTGCTAGAGCTAGCAAGGACCAAAATTTCTGCTCCCTGAATAACCCCCAATGCCGATTCCACGTTGCCCAAAGTCACATCGGCCTCTCCCTAGCTTCCCGACGAGGAAGCCGAGTAATACCAAAACACACACACGCCTAATTGTTTCCACATGCTTAAATTTCATTATGCAGTATAATGAGTTCAAAGTTTGTCATTCAATGAAAATAAACAACATATTTTTTTAACAAATCATATTGTAAAATAAATGATTAATTGAAAAATTAATATATATATATATATATATATATTATGTGTGTGTGTTCAGTTTTAAAGCAAAAAGGAAAATGAAGAGAAGGATAAGGAGAAATACATGACGATGGAGAACTTGATGAAAGTCAAATGTTGATATATAAAAGCATAATATTTTAAAAAGTATTTAAATTATTTTAAAAATTTTAAATAAATATTTATCTTTTTATTACGATTAATCATATTCGTATATTTGTATTTTAAATTAAATATATGTTTATGATTAATAGTTGATTAGTTGTTATTAATCAAATACTATTTATCATTTTATATTATATGACATTAATGTGGCATATTGATATAGCATAATAGACGATGCCGTGGTATGTTGATATGGAATAATAACAAGATTATGTAATATTTTTCGCTCTCCACATCAACATTATGTGAATATAAAATGAAAAGTAGTATTTTAATTAATGATAATTAATTAATTTTTAATTATAAAAATTTATTTAATTTAAAATAAAAATACAAAAATTTAATTGAACGTAATAGAAAAATAATGATTTATTTAATTTTTTTAAAATAATATAAAATGAATTTTCAAACGTTATGAATATGAAGTATATTTGACATTGATGCTTTAAATCAAGGTGGTGCAGATCGGTTGCTATTAAAATAGGCATAGAAGGAGGTCAAATGTCATTTTAACTTGTAGAATCCAAGGCTTAAGCAGAGAGTAGGAATGGTGATATCCGGTAATGAGTGGCAATTGGACTATATATATATATATATATATATACTTAAAATAAAATAAAGTCCAGCCAGCCGGATTAGGTCATGGATTTAGGTTAATCTACGGTGCCACTTGTCAACAAAGCAGGAACTTACGGCAATTAATTTGTTTGGGTCCCATATATATTTTCAGGCAGAAATTAAACAATCACATGTATTTATGCATGAGCGTGAGTCCTATCCAAACTCCTGGAGAAGAAAAGTTGAAAGCAGTGGAGAAGCACTGACCAACTCTCGCAAACTCTCCCATTCATTTTTTCAAGAATTCAAGGGTTAAACTGCTAGTGCAAATCTTGTTCTTGGTACGTGCTTTTTATTTCTATTAATTCTTGTTTCGTCCTCATCATGAAGGAATATTGAAGAAGAAGAGGAAGAAGAGAATGTATTGTTTATTTGTTGTGTGAACTTGTACTTGTTTCTTTGATCGTCAGAGTTTCTTCTTGTTTTTCTTCTTCTTTTCTCGGTTGCTTTTTCATTTCTTTCTCCGTTTACCTTGTTAAACTAAAACAACTATTTATATTTGATATCTGCACTGCTTTATAACGTTTTGAATTTTTGCTTCTCTATAAATCTACATGGTTTCTTGAGTTGGTACCATGCTAACTATATTTGTACTCACAAATGCACTGCTTTGATGCCCTGCTTCTTGGTTTCTTGATATTCTCCCAGTCTTACATTACTAGCTTATGTTTGGAGCTTTCTTGAGTAGTTGTCTCTTGTGATTTTCTTGGATGTAAGGTCACCGCTCTTCTTTCTTGGACTTAAATTTCTTGATAATCTTCAACTCTCCTTTGTTCCTTCCACTTTACTAATTTTTGTTTCTTTAAATGGACCACAGCATTATTCCAAGCAAGATTGCAGCTAGAAATGAACACCGGAGGGAGTGACGGAGAAGATGGAGACGGAGGAGAGCGGGGCAGAGGAAGTGGTAGAGACGGAGAAAGAAGGGGCAGAGGAAGTGGTAGCGACGAGGAAAGAAGGGGCAGAGGAGATGGTGGAGGCAGAGGGAATGAACCAGATGAAGCCTCCTCTTCGCAAGCAGCGACAAAAAATCCTTCCTCGGTCGGACAAGAAGAATCACTGCCAAGTCACTCCTTGCATGGTCCCAATCAGCCAGCTCGACCCTCCGTAACTCCGAGAAATCAGACCTTTGACCAACAGCAGACTTCAGGACAACAGGCTCCTCAAGATTCAGAACATCAGAGGCTGGCAGGTCACACAAACTTCCGTCGTAATAACCTTCGTAACGCAGAAAGAAAGTTTCCGTAAGTCATGCTACATGTTCATCTCAATTATATTTTTCCTGTCTTCGTTTCTGTTGGCAAATACATATCTTTCACTTTTAACTGACACCCTGGAATTTTATTTGCCGCACCAAGTCCATCTGCATCATTTCCAGCTAGAGTCGTACGACCGCAAAGGCAAGATATTGCTTTGCAGCTCAGAAAAAGAAACATTGTTCTTGGTTCTCGGCCGAGTTCGTATACACCACTTGCTTTGTTTCAACTTTCTAAAGCCAAATAATTTTACATTGAACTGCCAGGAAATGAAGTTGTCTCTCACATCAATGTTCTTTTGGCAGCTCGTAAGTTTGGTTCATTCGGAATTGGAAGGGGGAAGCCAGAGACAACGTCACAGCTAGGACCTTCCTTTCCTCACAGAAAGAGAAGCGCTGCTGATATACAACCAGATTACAGAATATTAGCTGCCCTTCTGTGTATGAACATTAGTTCAAATTTCTAAATAAATACCCAATTTCCTGCTTATGGAAAATAAGAATTGATGTCTATATATACCCATCAGCAGAATTGCTTGTTCAAGCGTGGTTTCCAGATGGAGTAGCACAACCGCAGGGGCAAGATGCATTGGAGCGCAGCGATAGAAACGTTGCTGATAGTTCACAGCAGAGTTCGTATACACCCTTTGCTTTGTTCAACTTTCTGGAAACAAATAATTTTACATTGAACTGTCACGAAATGAAATTGTCGCTAGACTTCTCTCACACCAATGTTCTTTTTGCAGTTCCTCAGTTTGCTTCATCTGGAATTGAGACGTCGGAGCCAGGATCTTCCCTTCCTCGAAGGGAGAGCAGCGCTACTGGTATATTAGCCGACTTTCTGAGTATGAATTCAAATTTCTAAATAAATAACCAATTTCTTGCTTTATATATATATATGCATACACCCACACATGATGCCAAATTTGTAGCTTTCTGTTTTTTGGTAAATCAACTCCTTTAGCAGGAGAGAGAAAACAATATGCAAAGTTTTCTTTATGAAAAGATTTGGGGATGGAACCTTTCCTAACAATAGGTAAATTTATTGACATCCCAATTTCTTTCCAAGCAAGAGCAAAGATTTCTATAAAAGACGCTATATGGAGTTTGACAGTGTACAAGCCGCAAGTTGCAACCAGGAACTCAATAGCTTCTTTAATAGAAACAAATGACAGAAGTTTCAACCAGGAACTCAAAAAGCTTCTTCAATAGAAACCAATGACAGAAGATTCAACCAGGAACTCTATCTGGAAAAAGAAGAAAGCCAAATTCCCTTATTATCAGATTAAACATCACCTCTGTATTCATTATATTCATGCTCAATGCTGTACAAAGGTTGCCGCAAAATGATTTCCTTCTTGGTCAGTCCTGAGAGCTTATATTCATTTATTGATGAAACAAATAGTTGTCTCTAAGATTGGCTCAAAATCAAGCGCTAACTCAGCACTTTCCATTCAAAATGGTTATTGAAGATTCATTTATTTCTATATTGCCATATGAAGCCAATTCTGTTGCCAATGCTGCACATTTTCCTTTTCAGCTCCTAATTCAGGTTCATCTGCAGGGACAGTTTCACTTCAAGGGATGGGTGGATCAATGACACAAACACAAGGAGACCCTGTTGGATCCTTCCATCAGGAGGAGGAAAAGCCTTTCCCAGATTCTGTGCCAAATGCATATGCAAAATCTGGTTTGGCCCTCCTTCAGAAATTTTCACAGAACATTGTTGGTTAATTTGCTTTTCAATATATACATAAGCTATACTAAAGCACCTGTAGTTTTCAAGGTCTTATATTTTCTCTGTGCTTAACAAACCTTAAGAAACTATGACTTCCATAACTAAATCACATCAATTATACAATGTTAAAAATTCAGTACCCTTTCTTGCAGCATGTTATAAGAAGTTGCCTTTCATTACCTCTCTGAATATCGGATTGTTTTGTGCCAGTTAAAAAGAGAAAGAAATCAACCGAAAGCATGGATGACAGCGATGAGCAAGCAGCCCCCTCAGCAAGTGATATCACCAGCAGTGAACAGCAGCCAAGTGGCAGTGGGAGACCGACAGAGGCTCACCAAGGCAACCCTGATGATTCTGATGAAAGCTTAGATACAGATTTAGAGTGAAGCAAAAGCCAGAGTCACAAATAAACTTACAAGCAAAAGGCAGAAATGGCTTATCAATGGCAGAGCCTTTCTTAGACTTGTTGAGGCTTTAAACTGTGTTCATTTGTAGACTTTTGTGAGTTGAAGTAGAAATGGCATCTAGAACAGAAACTTAACAGCAAATGATGATGCTTTTATATTTCATCTCACTAATGTTGCTGTGCATATACAACATAAGAACAATACACACATTAGACCTCAGAAATGTGTGACCTGTAATGTTCTCGTTCTTGGAAATCAGGCTTCGGCATCCCCAATGGAGTCCCCGACACTGACTCAAGAAGATCTCGAAGCTCCTTTACATGGCTAGTCATCCTGCTGATTGAATAAGCCTTAATCATGGTTCTATAGGTAATCTTATCAGGCTTATATCCTTTCTGCTTCATCATTTCAAGCACCCCTTTCATCTCTGCAAAGCACCCCATCCTACCATAAGCATCCACCAGACAATTGAAAAACACAGTGTCCAATGTTACATCTGAATTGTCAATGAACCGCAAAACACCTGCAATTTTTTCAGCTTTTCCAGCTTGACCATAAGCCCTTACCAGAGAGCAAAGGGTGACACAACTAGGCTTGATTCTCTCCGACCGCATTAGTCTAAACAAATACTCCATCTGTTTCAAATCACCAGCCCTTCCAAAGGCATCTATGACTACATTGTAGGTAACAATTGTCCACGAGTAATGGTATTTTTGCATATATTCCATTACAGCACTCATCTTATCATAGTTTCCAGTTTTCCCATATGAGTCTAGAAGAATGTTGAAGGTGTTAATATTGGGCTGGATACCAGCACGCTGAAACTTCTCATAACACTTCTCCATTGTTTCAATTTGCCCACTGCTGCCAAAGGCTCTGATTGTGGAGTTCATGGTCCAAACATCTGGTTCACAATCCTTCTCCCGAAGCATCTCCACAAGCATCATTTCCATCTCTTGAAACCTTGCAGGAGACAAAAATGATGAGTTATATCTCAGTATGTGAACTTCAATCTCTCCATATAGTCACAAATTTTAAGCTGATTTTCTTTTGTATGTAGATCCATGTATCATCAAAAAGTTTTGATTTTTACACTACTCTGTTGCATTATAATCATGGCAAACAGATGGTTCCTGAAATTTTTGTAAGGGATTAACAAGATACATTTTTGCTTTGCCGTAGGCGTCAATAAGGGTGTTGTATGTAACTGTGTTGGGCCTGATTCCCTGACTTGCCATGTCGGAAAGCAATGCCTGTACTTTGTCAAAGGCAAAAACTTGCAGGCATGACTTCATGAGGATTGAATAAGTCTGCACATCAGGATGACAATTAGGAGTGTCTTTCATCTCCTCCAAAAGGGAAAATGATTTGTCAAAGAGAGCACTCCTACTGTAGGCAGACAAGAGGGCAGTGTAGGCTTCATGGTTAACAACACAGCCTTCATCAATCATAGCCTGGAAGAGATCATTGGCTTTCTCAGGCTGCTTACATTTCCCAAGCATGACAATAAGCTTAACGTATATAGCAGAGTTGGGTCTGTACCAAAGCTGCTCCCGTAGTAGCTCAAAAACCTGAAAACATAAAGATGCAAAAACCATGTGATGAGCCTGGTATTGTCACTGGAGTATGAGCTCTAGAAAGTTAAGATTGTTCTAAAGACAACAATGAGAAAGTAGACAACACTAACAACCATATATGGAAAAACATTAGCTCAAAGTTGAAAATATTCCAAAATTAAATTGGATCTCCAGACACTTAGGTGTGCTTCTTTTCTTGACATAGCACACGACAAGATTTTACAAAGATGACTAAGCAAAATCATAATTTAATCGGATGTTAGTGCATTATCCCCATCTGCAAATTATCTGCAGGCACTTAAGGAACTCTATCACTCAATTTGCCCTTCACTGCTTGGTGGTCAACTTAAAGCAACCATCTAAGTTCACATTATATAAACATTGCTCTTTCATACAAGCTATCGAAGTATGTTTTAGCAGTCATATCAACTGGCATGCTTGTTCATTTCTTAAGCAAACTTCTCCACCATCAAGCCAAGCAGCAGCAGTCCAATGAAGCAAACTCTTACCAGAGTTTGGCCCAAGCAACCTGAGCAGCTCTAGCTTGAGATTGGCTTAACCTTTATGGCAAATTTAGATGTTTAAAGCAAATGTCAAGGTAATGATATGGTTCTACTGTTAACCATGGTACTCAGGCAACGCCTAGGGGCCGTTCTGCACAATGAAGTGGGGTGGTGGGGGGCCATCGGAACCACCACACCACCCCACGGTGCCAAACACACCCCTAGAAGATAAAGGGCAATGATAGAGGCCGAAATTTTACTTCAAGCCTACTCTCTAAAGATAAAGTTGGTAAAAGGAGAGTTAGTAGAAAGAGTCTAGTAGCAGTTGACACCCCAAAAATGAGCGCCCCTTTCAGAAACAAGTTTATCATACGCACACACACACAATAGGGTATGAAATTACCATAATATCCTTAGTGTGATTTTCAACCACCACATCAGCCCCCTACTCCGAGACCCTAGACAATATAGGTCGGGCTAAGGGAGTAAAGGTACATTGGACTTGGCGGTTCTATCAAGAAGGTACTTGCAAATGTTGCTGCTCATATAAGGTTTACTCTAGATTTGTTAGAGCAAGGTTAGAAGTAGGTTTTCTAAACAACTTATGGCTGGATGACATAATGTGTGGAAAGATTCTTAAGGTTTGAGAGTTGTAGTTGATGCTCGGAAGGATTTGTTCCGCATCCATCTAGTGTTCTTTTGGTTTTCTTGAGGTGTAGCTCAAAATAAAAGATAGTTATAATTTATTATTCCCACTTGTAGGTAATAAATACTTAAGGAGAATGCTTTTATTTCATCCATTATTTTGATCTTTTAAGTTGTTTTGTTTTGTACCAAATTATAAGGAAAAATTGGCAAAATTGTAAGCTCACCAAAGCTTCCATAATCGAGAATTGAGAAAGACCTTTTCTAGAGAAATTTGACCTAGGTGGACATGTTCGCCGTTCCCACAAACAGTGCCAAAATGTTGAACAAAAAGGGAAAATCTTAAGCGATAAGCTTGTTTCTATAAGGAGAGACTAATTCTTTACTGTTACTAGAATCTCTTTCTCTACTTTCTCTCTTTAATCTCACTCTTCACTATCTTAGTTGTTAGAAAATTTGGGAAAGGAGAGAGATGTTTGCGATAGAAAATTGAGCTAGTCGAGACAAGACCATCATTCCCACAGGGAACTCCAAATGCTGCAGTAAAAAGCATGATTTAATATGATAAGCTAGCTTTTGTAATATTCAATTTAAAATGCTTGTAAACTCTCTTTCTCGATTCTCACTTTTTACTGACTTAATAATTGAAGAGTTAAGCTAGAGTAAAACGTCGGCTTTGCTCATTGTCACCTTGTCTTGTAAATCATCAACTAAGTACCATCATTGATGATAGAACTAGAACTTTACCTCAACATCTACCGTTTTCTGTGAGAATGGTGGTCTTATCTCAATTAAAGGTGGCAATTCATGCAATTATGTCATAATTGTGTTGTGTCACAGTAGTGTCATTATTAAAGTATGGGCTGACACAAAACATGACACAATTAAATAATCATGTAAAGAAACTCTAACATTAACAGATCCTATTTGTTAAACAGGTTACCCAAGATAACATGAATAACCCATTAACTAAACAAAAAATGTTAAAAGTATAACACAACAAAACACAATTGACCATTTTGAAGATGGTTAATTGATTAAATCTATAAACTTTCAAATATAATTAATAATTTAATTTATGAGTTTAAACAATTAGATAATTTGGTTTATGTGGGATAATAATTAACAAGATTAATTAATCATGAGAAAATGTGTTCTGGAAACTCAACTCGCATTAATCAAAGAATTTTTCATTTCAAAATCCAGTTAACATAATTATGCAAAACAAAAACATTTTTAAGAACATGTCATGTCATTGAGTTAAAACTAAAGGTAATATGGTAATCTTTTGTACCCTATACACAGTAAACTTATTTTCATAAGGACTATTTTCTTTGCCAGTGAACTCTATCTCCTTAATGCCCTTCTCACTACTGACTTATCTTTTCTTACTATTTACTGACATGGTCATGGAAGAGTTGGACTGTGATAAAACTTCAGCCTCTTTCGCCTGTCACTTCTTTTACAGGACTGGTTAAGCACCATCATTTATGGTAGAACCTGATCTTTACCTTAACAATGTACAAGATAGGTTCTTAAACTCATGGAGGTAAGAACAGTTGTCACAAGTAAATATTTCTAGTGTGCCATGAAATATTTTTAAGGCCACTATCAGAAGATTACATCTTATATAACCAATTATTTTAAGTCTGACAACCCAAACCTATCATTAAGCGGAATTACTTGTTCTACAAGAGTTGCTATATAACTAATGAAAATCCATATAATAAATGCAAAATCATAATTGATTAAAATTGAATTTTTTGTTATTATAAGTATTAAAGTAAAATATGTATTTAGTAATAAAAAGAAATCTTTTTTTAATTTTTAATCTTTAAAATATATATTTATATATAGTTACACTTTTTTCTTTCTTTTTCTTCCAAAAGCAAAGAGCAAGTACATTTGTCACTCATCAAAGACCCAAAACCCAAACTTTAGAATTTCCCATCACTCAAATACACCCTCCAAATAAATCCAAATAATGATCCTCCAAAAGAAACCGTTTCTCCAAAAACGAAAAGCAAGATAAAAACTCAAAATTTCAATCAAACAACAGAAAAATAAAATAAAATAAGAAGACAGACCTTGAGAGCAGACTCCCAACGCAAAGCAGTGATTCTGTCATGAAGGGCTTCAAGCACAGTCCTAGGCAGCAACTTCTTGGAATTGTTGGGTCCTCTCTTCGTTTCGATCAAAGCTTTAGTGGCCTCTCTTCGCAGAACGACGGAAATAGCCTTCCTTGAAGCTATCTTCCTGTTCACTTCCTCTCTCCTCTCTCTTACCTCCCTCTGTTTCAGCTCCTCTGCAGTTACAAGTCCTCTCTTTTTTCTCTTTCTCTCTGTCACTGTTAAGCTACCCGTTTCCTCTTCTGCATTTTTGTTTGAGGCAGATGCTTCGGGTTTGGAGGCGGATATGTGTGAAACCCGTATGGGATTATGGTTTTGAGCCGGTCGCCGGTTCACAGCCTGTGGAAATGGGTGGGTGTGGCTTGAGAGTGAGGCCATTTGGATTTTTTTTCCTGTTTGAGTTTGCAGCATGGAGTGGCTAAGGAGCAGAAAAATAAGAATTGAAGTTGGAGTGTCTTTTGGGACTGATAAAGCTGGACGAGGCTAATAAATTCTTATAAAGGCCCAATTTAAAGATGATATGAAACACATTAATCCTGGTGGGCCTCTGCCCTCAATTCAAACCACATGTTCTTAAAGAGACACCATCCCTCAAGCCGAAAAACAAAAGTCACAAGCCATTTCAAAACACATATTCGGTAAGCCGTACAGGGAGATGCGAGCTTATGACAGGTTATTCTTTAAGAGCAATAAAATTTGCGTATGACTTCTAGCTTACACCATTAATTTTTTTTTATTTTTTAATCACTTTTTTTATCTCAATTATTGTTTTTATTTTAATATTTAACCAAATGAATTCAATTGGTCATTTCGAAAAGGCCAAAGACCCACAATAATTTTCTTTTCATTATTTTCACAACTCATCATGTGGCAGCCTAATAAAACCATAACGTGGCTAAATGTGGATCTTCTTTTTATACATGTTATAGATTAATAAACATTTTAAGTCATTAAAGTTGATGACGTAAGAGAGTTTACAAGTTAATAATTTTCTCTTCAAAAGCTAGTTATTCATTTATCATGTTACGACAAAAAAAAAAGAATATTAATAACAATGATATGGAACAAATGTTGTTGTGCCATCAGACAAAAACATAATCTCTAGATATATTGGGGAAAATCAACTAGTTGAATCAACCAAAAACCTTTCTAGTCGGCTAAATGCATCTTTCATCTCACTTTGACCTCAATATTTTGTGCCATATATGGGAAAACGTCAACAAGAATATCTAGTTCCCTTTCAAAACACCATTTCGACCTTTCCCTAACCTCGACCACCTCCTTTTTCCCCAAGTGCTTATTCTACCTGAAGAACTCCATCCTCGACAGGAACCATTAACTTAAAAAATTCCACAACACCAGACTTTGCCAACAAACTACCTCCACTTTTTTCCTCACTCTCGATAACATGGACATGGTCCCAAAATCCTTACCTATGGGTGACTTTCACTCTTTTTGGCTCCTTTGCATTTACATCTGTGTTCAACAATTCTGCCATATAAAGCATTGTGCCATAACAACTTAAAGTAACTTTTCTTTGCCTCTTTTTTTTGTCGTAGCTATGCTTCCCCTTATGGCATATGTACCTCTTATTATGTATGCCTCTTTTTATGTCTATTCTTTTTTGAGTTTTTCTTACAATCTCTAAAAGCACCATTAAGTTCTCTCAACCTCTTCAACTACCACTCAGCAAGAGACCACCCTAAACATGCTCCCACACTTTACCCATGACAACTTTCACCATCTACCACTAATGTCAAAGCAGTCTTAAGTCATGTTTGAACAATACAATGATAACGTAGTTGTATGCCCCACAAGTTAGTCAATTGGCTATATATAGATACATATTGTACTTTAAGCATTTACATTTTATAAAATTCATTCTTTTATTTCCATAAGACTTATGAATGTCGATTAGATGAAATAAAATCCATAAAATATCATATGTTTTTCAAAAAGGATTAGAAAATGGTATAATTATGATATCGTTACTGTATCAAAGCATTACTCCTAAATTATTCCTAGTCAATTTTCAAAAAAAAAATTTCCTAGTTAATGTTTTATCAAGAAAAATGGATATTGGTAAAATATATATATATAGACATATGATTATATTCCTCACTTGTGAAATAAGCAATCGATCTCATAAATAGAAGTATAAAGATACTTGAACTAACATGGGGGTGATTGTTACATGAGTAAGTTCATTAATATGACCCTTCATGAGAATTTTATTTGTCATATCAATCAAGTATCTATAAAATAAATTCTCATATGACAGTTGTGTAAGTGATCCCTAGACTTGAGATCATTAGATTACTTTATGTGTGAAATGCCATTCATTCATACTTTATAAAGTGATTTTTGTCAAGGATGCTTAAAAAGGGATGGATATTGGATATAACCTGAAACGCACGAAACTAAGTCAATGATTAATAAAGGATTCAACGCCTTAAGTGAAGCTAAGAAAAATATCTCGTTGCACCTTGATAAATAATAACTCATAGAACCCTTAGGCTTAGGCTTATGGAGATGTTGACAAAGCTCTTTTTTCACTCTCTAATGATGAGTTTAATTATTAGAATCAAGTGTTAAAATGACAAAGACAAATTTAGACACTGCATCATACTCTATATTTTGTTGGGATATCATACGATGAAGGCATGATAATTATACAGCAAGATTGTGCACTGAAAGATTGAGT